CCTCACACCATGCATGGCACTAGGGCCTTATCAGTCTTTAGACCAAAAGAGGAAGGTTATCACCTTGAGTGGTGATTTTCGACCATACTGGTGGGGCTCATGGTCATCACTATGACAAATTGTACCTGCCACCCACTCCCTAAGGTTACCACATGCCCCTGGGTATAGAGGGAACTGTTGTGTGCAAAGTTTTGTGTATAGTTGTTATTTCAAATAATTTGTAAAAAATAAACATACAACAGTTATTAAAGCCATATAGATAAAACATGTTATATACAAAGAAGGGTAAAAGCATAATTCCAATTCTTTATTATTTGACGTAGTTCATCACTAAATGGGATCAACTCTCTAGCTTCCCTAGTGGAGTCGCCATCTGTCGTTGCCGTCTCCCAACGCCGATAGGCATGGGGATTTCAATATTTGCGAACGGTTGCGATAGATGACTAAACTTCTATGTTTTTGTAAAATTATGTAGTCAACACTTTTTAGGTTGTCCGATAACCAGATTGAACCTAAAAGCAAGGTTTTTGTAAAGGGTTCTATGGAGTCGCCACCGATGTTTTTCCATAAACATCAGAAAAGGAAGAACAGAAAGTGTTGGTTTAGAAAAACCAACTTTAGCCATTACAACCAGAGTTGGGTAAGGAAGTTAGTTACATGTATAGAAGGTGTTAACACCCCACAACGCCCCTTTCAAGTTCCCTATGATGGACTAATTCATATAATAAAGACTAAGAAAAATTATGCTTTTACCCTATTTATTTATCTACTTTATGGAATTTTAAATATCTACATGACCCTAGTATCTAATGCATATAAGGAAAGCAGTAATAGAGAAGAGATATGAAGAAGAACCTCCGAAGTGAGCTTTTATAAATCTTGAACTTGAGGGCACTTTTTGGCAGTCCCCGCACTCTACAGAGACACTCCTCCCTCGAACAAAAAATAAAATACCACACTACCGAGCGCTAGATGTCTCTAAAGGAGACTTCCTTAACCGATTTCTACCTTAAACGGAAATCGGAAAGCTCACTCGGACTCTGGAATAATGCCCAGAGTCACTCTCAAGTACCAAAAGGCTTCCTAGAGAGTGTAGGAGTGGAAAGGTGTGTGAAAAATGAGGAAATGAGGCTCCTATTTATAGGGAAGCGAGTCTGGAAAAGTGGACGATCGTCTGGCCATCATGGACGACCGTCCATAGCCAAAAGTAGGGGTGGACAGTCGTTTGTCTAGCATGGACGTTTGTCTAGCATGGACGATCGTCTGTCTAGCATGGAAGACCATCCATGCCTCATTTTTAGGATGGACGACTGTCCACAGCTGAAAAATCAGAGTGGACGACCGTCTGGCTAAGCTGACGACCATCCACTGCTTTCCTGACAAAAATGATTTTTTATTTCCCCAGAAATCCCTCCTTATTCTAGCTGAGACCTAGTAGACACTACTAGAGGCCCTATGAAGCTTTATTCTTCTTCAGAACAAAGGATTTCTGGCATTTTGGTGGAGTCGGGCAAGATTTGGGGTCTACACTAATTTAACTATAAATCTGCTAAGCGGATTAGTCAAATTTGATTTCTATATAATGTTGTTTTAAGTTTTATTATGTAATTATTGCCGCAAATGGGCCTTAATCGTTCCTTATGCCTTTGTCATTGTATAAATAAGCATTTGAAGGTCGAAAAACATAAGTTAAGTTTGAATCACAAATTTATTTTCAAAATTTCTCTAGTTTTCGTTAGTGATGCTTAGCTTCAAGTTTATTCATGGAGCTTCTTGTATGAATAATGCTATGAGTTTATCAATTCAAGTTGTCCTTGATTAGATTTGTTTCATTTTCTCTTTACTTCTTCATTTTACTTTCTATTTTTATCTTTTTTATCTTCTTCCATTCCATTTCTTTACTGTTTTCATGTTATTTCTGGTTTTTCATTTGTTCATCATGTTCTAATTCGCTTTTGTTGTTGATTCACTTATTAAAACTTGTTTTCTATGGTTTAGATTTGGTTCTTAATGATTTTAACTGATTATAATCCATTACAATCAATGTAATTGAGGTTATTTAATTGAATGTCTCATTTACATCACAATTCAACTTCTAAGTTTAAGTGATTACTAGATTTAGGAATTGAGTTGTAACTTTGAATTTCAAATGAATTATAATTGATTAGAACTGTTGTGGATTTGTTTTTGTGATTGCAACACTATTCCATAAAAATCATTGATAATCATAAAAACAAGTTTATGATTGGAGAATTAACACAGTTCTTACTATAATCTTCACTTTTCTTAATCAACCTTCAATTCAATTTTCATTTTGATTCTGTTTTTACTTTCAAACCTTAGTTTATAATGTTTATTAAAAACTTTACAACTTTGTAGAAGTAGATTTAATTCAATGTTTTTACTTCTCTACATTTACCTGATTATATTTATAAGCTTTCTTTAATGATTTTTCTTTAAATGCGTTCATTTACTACTTTCTTTAATTGCTTTTATAGTTTAGTTTATTGTTTTCATTTACTATTTAGATTACTACTTTTAATTTACTTTTCTGCATACCAAAATTACAAAAACACCCTTATTTCGTGGCTTTTTACATTGAAAATCAATATTTGAACAAAACTAAACAATTCTTGTTAAGCACACGACCTAGGCTAGCCTTAGCACTGCATTATTTTTATTGCAAATTCTTTGGTGAGATCTAGGCGACAAGATTCACTTCATCAGGGGTTAAATGCTTACGATACCCAAATGACTCAAAGTTGATCATCAGGCAGATATTGGGAGATTTCCAAACTAAAGAGCTTGCCATACAAAAGTATTATTACATTGCAAAAATCTATTGAAGGACTTTGAAAAGACAGACATCAATCATGTGCCTATAGAGCATAATGAATGAGCTAACATGTTATCCAAACTAGCCAGCACCAAGAAACCCAGACAACATAAAACACTGATACAAGAGACCTTAACCACTTCAAGATACAAACAAAACTTTCCAAGTTGACACAACTCGACTAACATGAATGACACCAATTATACAATATCTTACACAAGATCTACTACTAGAAGACAAACAAATGACCTAAAAATTTAAAAGAATGGTCACTCAATATGTAATGCATAATGGTGAACTCTTTAAGAGGGGTTACTCGGCTTCACTCCTAAAATGCTTAGAGAAGGACTAGACATAATATGTCATGGTAGAAATCTACAATGGTATATGCGGTTTACACTAGAGAACAAGGACGATGGTGGCACGGTAACATAAAGCATATTATTACTGACCCTCCATGAAAATAGATGCCAAACCTTTCACCCAAAACTGTGAAGCATGTCAACAACATGATCTCTTATATATAACCACCCTAAAAGATCTACATGATACACTACTAGAAAAATGCCAAATAGTAACCGAAATCAGTGACTTAAAAATTTAGTTACTATCAGTGATTGAATCAGTAACCAAATTATTATTTTTTAGTTTAGTAATTGAAATAGTAACTGAATTTTCGGTCACGAAAAATTAGTTACTATTTCATTCACTCTTTTATTTAATTTAATTTTTTTAATTAATTTAATTATTTAATTATTTCACTCACCATAATATACCTTAACAAATTTTCATCCCGCACTCCACTGATATGCCCCAAATTTTCATCTTGCGCTCACATTCACCAATCTGATCTTTGAATCCTACCTTGTTCGAGGTTAATCGCCTTCATCTCTTCATCCCCAATCCTCCACACTGATCTGACCTTTGAATCCTACCTTGTTCGAGGTTAATCGCCTTCTTCTCTCCATCCCTAATCCTCCACACTGATCTGACCTTTGATTCCTACCTTGTTCAAGGTTAATTGCCTTCATCTCTCCATTCCCAATCCTCCAGCCTTCAGTAAATCCAACACGGCAACCTAAAACCCACCTGAAACCCAACAGAGACATCGAACCCCAACCCTAACCCCTAACCTCGACGGCCTTGAATCGAAGCGACCTGAAACTATGGCGACATCAAACCCTAACCTAAGCCTCTGTGAGCTTGAACCTAACCCCAATGACCTCAGTTCCAACCAAAACCCACGAAACCTCGTACTAGAACCTTAACCTTGACGAACTTGAAGCTGTCGAGGCTACTATCAAGCAATAGGTACTCTTCTTTCAACATGTGCTTCGTTATAAGTATGGTTCATCGGGAGGTGCTTGTTCATTATTCCAATACATATGATGTTTAATCATTAAGGTGTATTGCCATGCAATTCAAGTTTCAATGCTTTGATTATCACTTATTTAATTCTATATTTGTGTTTATGTATTCTGACGACTTCTTCCATATCATTCCATGTTAGATAGGTTATTAATGATGCAACATGTATCTTTTGATAGTTAGAAGAGAATGACTGTCTTAAGTCTGAACTTTTGAGTAAAGTCAAGGAATTGGAAAAATATGTAAGTTTTGTATTCTGTGATGACATCTGCTTCATTCGTCGAATGTTTTTTATGAGTGTTGTAATATAGTGTTTTTTTTTTATTTGATTGCTTGTTTATGTACTAATTAATTTCTGTCATTCTACTTTTTGAATCTGAATTTCGTTTTACATGGGTAGGAATTGCTAGCTGGAGCAATTTTAGCTAAACTTAGGACACTATTTGCTTTAAAATGTCCATAGCACTAAGTTATAGGACAATCTTTGACTACTTATATTTGTCCAAGATTGTATATATATGTGGTCACACACATGTGAGTGTTTTGGATAATTTTGTTTTCATTAACTCAGAAGATAATTACAAGTAGTTTGGATGATAAATGATCCTCCTTAATGTGAAAAGAAGACTTAAAAACAAAGAGGAAGAAAAAGAAGGAACATAAATAGTTTAAAGTTTTCCAATCCCTCAACATATACTGGCAATATATTCTAATTTTATGGATATGCAGTTTAGAAGAAGTAAATTTGAAAGTGAAATTTATTGAAATAAATATTAATCAAATCTATATCGACAAGTTTGAATGGGAAGAAGGTCCTCGGTTGGGAATGAACTTGAAGATTTTTACTATATATGTTGATAGTAACAACTCTCATGTTTTCAATAAAAGTGAGGTTCTCCGGATTAGAGACTTGTTCATAGAATTTCATCTTCCAGGCAATGACTTCCTTGGACCTTATGAAATTCTAGACTTCATTCTCCTGGATCTCTACAGAGATGATAAGTCACAGAAACTTCTTATGATCAAATAGTGTTTAGTGGAAGTTGGACACTAAACAACTTAACATTGGTTGAATTCTCTTTAGGTGGTTAAACATTATAATATCAGTTTTAAGTTTTAGTCTTATTAATTGAATTCTCTACTATAGTTCATATCTCATCTTTCAAAGTTTGATTAAAACTTTGAACTAAATTTTGCTTTAATTCTACTGGTATTTGATGTGACTGCTCCGAAATAGGGGGTAAACGTCATTTTGTCAGCATTTCTCTACTCATGGTATTCTGGAAAAGTATCCATCTTTTGGTTGCTTCTCAATTTAACTTTTATTCATTTTCTCAGTTTAGTCTTTTTGAGATACCATGACAATTAAACGAAACTACTGTGTTATGATAAGTAAGCATTGAAAAATAGAGATGTAATGGCTTGTTCATGATTATATTCTTTGTTGCTGTCAAGTTAAGAGTTTAAACGAATCCAGTTAATATTGGAAAGTTAATGCTCTACCACTCGTCAATTATGAATATGTTGCTTCATAGTGTGATCCATAACCATCTATATATAGAAAGACATATTTTTTAATTGTTTTATGGTTATTCTCATACTTCTTATGTTGTCACAGTGAGTGTTACCTCTCCAAGTTCAGGGATAAGCAAAGGTGCACTGGCTGGAATAGTCTTAGGTGCAATTGCTTTTTTGGTTACTTTATCCGCAATTGTCACCATTCTCATATGGAGAATACGTTTGAGATATAATTGTACACCTTCCAAACGGCCAAAAGGTGAGTACCTTAAAGTTAATAACCTAGCATATTATTATTATTATTATTCCTTCTTTTTTACTTGCTTCAGTGCTCTTCCTCTGTCACAATTAGAAGTCTAGATGTTACTGCTTGTAGACCCCAAATCTTGTTCGGCTTCAAAATAAAGAGCAGAAGACTTCCGTTTGAAGATGGACAAGGCCTTAAAGGTCCTTAGAATTGTCCAATAGGCTCTATATTAGAATACAAAGACTTTTTGTACATGAAAATAAGAAAATCCTATCCAGAAGACGACCATCGTCTCATTTGGAGAGACTGCTGTCTCGCCATTTGTCAAAAGCGAGACCGCCGTCTCGCCATTTGCCAAAGGCGAGACGGCGGTCCCAGTCTGATGGGGCACAAATTTCTATAAGGGGGGGGGGTTCTCTCCACGTTTTGAACAACTTCTCCAATTGAATATACCCTCCGACACTCTTTTAGAATCCCTCTGAAGCATTTCTAGAGTCTTAGGGTTCTTTTTAGACATTCTAGAGTCCTTCGAGAGAAGAGTGAGCAACGTTGTAGAGTGTGGGGTTTGCCAAAAAGTTCCCTTTACAAGAGCATTTATAAAAGCTTGCTTCGAAGATTCCTCTATATCCCTTACTCTATTTTATCGCTTTTATTAGTTACCATTTATATGCATTAGTTATTAGGGTCATGTAGTCAATAATTTAAATTTTGCAATGAATAAATAAAGGTAAAAACATGATTTCAATGTTCTTATTTCTTTACAATAAACACAGTCCATCATAGGGAACCCGAAAGGGGCGTCGTGGGGAAGCTAATACCTTCCCCACACGTAACTAACTCCCTTACCTAACTCTGGTTTTAATGACCAAAGTTGGTTTTTCTTAAAACCATCGCCTTCTTTTCCTTTTCCAATGTTTTTGGTAAAAATATTGGTGGCGACTCTAGAACCCACTTATGAAAACCTCATCCTTAGAATAGTTCAATTATCGGACATTCTAAGGGTGATGACCACATTTTAAAAAAATGCGAGTTGAATTGAAAGAACCATCGCGTCGCTTCGACCACCTCTTTTGACGGCGGCGACAGATGGCGACTCCACTGGGGAAGCTAGAGAGTTGATCCCATTTGGTGATGGACTAGTTTAAGAGATAAAAACTTGAAATTACTCTTTTACCTTTTCTTGCTTTTATAACATGATTTATTGCTTAGCTTTAATAACTGTTGTATGCTTACTTTATGCAATTGTTTGAAATAACAACTGTACACAAACTCTTGCACACAACAGTTCCCCCTATACCCGGGGGAAAGTGGGATAACCCTAGGGAGTGGGTGGCATTGTATGATTTGCCATAGTGAGGGCCATGAGCCCACCGGTATGGTTGGAAACCACCACTCAAGGTGATAACCTTCCTCTTTTGGCCTAAAGACTGACAAGGCCTTAGTGCCATGCATGGTTTGAGGGCTGGGAGAGTGGGGACCCTATAATGGGGCACCTTGGGGCCTGTCCTTGGTAAGGATATTTAGAACTACCTTGAATATGCACTCTTTTGCAGGATACCCCTACCTCGTGACAAAAATGTCGTCTCACTGCTAGCAGATGAGTGAATTGTTTGTGCATTTGTTTGTTGCATAGCGTAATCATACAACAGCAAAAAAACAATCTCTCAAAAACCTTTTCATAATAAACACCCTTATCTCAGACAGTTCACATTTTAGCTAGCCTGGTTTCAGGTTCTTTGTAAGCTAAGTAGCCACGTGGACCGACAAAAGAGATAAGGGATTCTAAAATCATTCTTTTGTAATACACCACTTTTATCTTGGACAATCATCATTTTAGCTAGCCTGGTTTCAGTTTCTTTGTAAGCTAAGTAGCCACGTTAACCTACAGAAGAGATAAAGGGGTCGTTAAACGAATAAAAAACAAAATAATGAAATTTAATAAAACGATTTTGAAAAAGTCATATAATTCATATTGCATCATTTCATAAGTGGAAAAACCAAGAGAGAAAATAAATGAACAAGGAAAGAAAGCATACGCATCATCTTAATAAAACCTCTCATACATAAACATATTCATGCTAGGGGGCATTAGATATCTCTAAGACAAAGGCGAAAGAGGACCCGAGCACATTTGTAACCATCCACAAGGAAGGGAAAAGTGTACTAAGGTATATGGTGACCTTCGTTATACTTGTCAAATCCATGATGGGGAAGGAACCATTATACTGAAGTGAGTATGGCACTCCACAAAGCGTAAGTTTTAAGGATGATACCTAAGTCATTGTCTTAGGAGATACTAATCTCACACCTATCATTCATCTCCATTAATAAAATTCATTTCGACATCTTAGAAAGTGGTTGGTCTTCCCATAATCCGAACCTGTGCGCAGAAGGCTAAGGCAATGGAGCACCTGGAGGAACAGAACCGCAAACTCACTGCTGAGGTTAGCGCCCTAAGAGAACAAATGGCGCAGATGATGGAGGTCATGCGCCAGCAAAACCTCAATAAAGGAGAAAATCATGGCGACCGCGCCTCTCGCCATGAGGAGGAAGAAGAAGAAGAGTTCTTTTACGAGCAAAAAGTTCCCCGTGCAGTCTGACACAAGGGCAATGCACATCCACACCCCAAGGTGTCCAAATAGTAGATATCTGCCTTGGAGGAAAGACTGAAGGTAGTCGAAGGGCACAATTTTGACGTTAAGGAGGCAGTTGACATGTGTCTTGTCAAGAACATCTAGTTTCCTCCGAAATTCAAGGTCCCAGACTTCTCCAAGTACGTAGGGCTGACTTGCCCCAAAAACCATCTTACAATGTATTGTTGTAAGATGGTTGCACATGCTGAGAATGAGAAACTTTTGATCCATTGCTTCCAGGAGAGCCTGACGGATTCAGCTCTCAAGTGGTATATGCAATTGGAGAAGGGACAGGTCCAAAATTGGAAGCAGCTGACAAACGCCTTTCTCCGTTGTTACCGATACAATATTGATTTGACCCCAGATAGGTCAGATCTTAGAACTTTGAGTAAAAGGAACGACGAGCCCTTCAAGGCATATGCCCAGCGGTGGAGAGAGATGGCTGCCCAAGTAGAGCCCCCACTAACAGACAAAGAAACGATGGTCATGTTCATTGATTCGCTGATGGGCCTTTATTATGATAAGGCGATAGCAAGCACATCTAACCTCTTCTCAGACATGGTCACCATCAGGGAGAGAGTGGAGCAAGGGTTAAGAAGCGGGAAAATAACGTGATCTTCCTCTTCCAATGTTTCATTCAAAAAGCCCTTTAACAAAAAGAAGGAGGAGGTTATGCATGCGATCAATCTCGCTAATCCTTCCTCCGTTTCGCAGACGGTCTGACAGCCACGTAAAAAGGAAAGCAAGTTTGCCCCTCTTTCAACCTCCTACGGGAAATTGCTGCCCCAATTGCTAGAGGCCAAGCTCCTGGCTCGCGTTCCTCCCAAGAAGATGGAGCCTCCCTACCCCGAGTGGTATAAACCTAGAAAAATGTGATTACCACTCAGATGCGCCAGGGCACTCAATGAATAATTGCTTGACCTTGAAATATAAGGTCTAAGAACTAATAGACGCTAGGTGGGTAACTTTTGACGCTCCTGCCTCCGATGTAGATATCAAGCCACTGTCAAAACTAGAGTAAGAGGAGGGTCGAATTAGGACGACCAGCTGTTAGTGCGCTTCTTTTTAAGCTTTTCTTGTATTTCCTACGGTCCCCGCCCGTGGCCGTAGGATCACCGATTAAAAGGGCACATGTACATATTTTTCTTAATACATGAGGCATTTTCCATCATATCATATTCATTCATTCTTTTCCCTCTTCTATTTATTATTCTTCCAAAATAATTGAATAATAAAATTTATGCCTAAAACAGAACCTAAAACACAAAATAATCATGTCTGTGACTGATGAACCTCTGTGGGATCTAGAAGCCAAAGGCGAATGGGTCGAGTCCGACAGTGAGCAGGGGACCGTCTCCCCGGACATGCAGAGAATACTGGAAAAAGAAGTTCGCTCCATACAGCCTTATCAGGAAGAAACATAAACTATCAACTTGGGACAAGGAGACAATAAGAAAGAAATAAACATTGGCACCCAGATTGGTAGTGACATCAGGGAGGGACCAGTACACCTTTTAAGAGAGTATGTGGACGTGTTTTCTTGGTCTTATCACGACATGTCCGGACTCGACACAATCATAGTGGAGCATTGTCTGCCTTTGAAAGAGAGATTTCGGCCCATAAAAGAGAAGCTCAGAAGAATAAAGTCGGAATGGTCCTTAATGATCAAGGAGGAAGTGGAGAGACAGTTGGACGCCAATTTTCTAATCATGTCCAAGTACCCCGAATGGTTGGCAAACATAGTACCCGTCATCAAGAAGAGTGGAAAAATCAGAGTATATAGGGATTTGAATCGAAGCTCAAAGGACGATTTCCCCTTACCACACATTGACATGTTAGTGGATCACACCGCTACAAACACACTCTATTATTTCATGGACGGATATGCGGGTATAATCAAATCAAGTTGGTCGTCGAAGATAGGGAGAAGACTTCCTTTATCACACCATGGGGGACATTTTGCTACAGAGTGATGCCCTTCGGGCTCAAAAATACAGGGGCTACCTATCAGAGGGCTATGGTAACATTATTCCACAACATGATCCACAAAGAGATCGAAGTATACGTGGATGATATGATTGCCAAATCCAAAAACGAGATGAACCATATTCAGTATCTCAAGAAGTTGTTCGATCGACTTCGAAAGTATCAACTTAAACTAAATCCGACAAAGTGTAATTTTGGAGTGCAGCCAGGCAAACTTCTGGGATTCATCATTAGTCAATAGGGAATCGAGGTAGACCCCGATAAAACAAAGGTGATTCTGGAAATGCCCCCACCAAAAATAGAAAAGGAGGTCAGAGGATTTTTGGGTCAAATAAACTATATTGCTAGATTCATCGCACAGCTGACAGACAAATGTATACCCATCTTCAAGTT